TCAGCCCGGTCGGAAGCAACACCTAGCATAGGTCTTCCCCTTGAGGTGCGGGAATGGAACGCCGAGAAGGGCTTCGGCTTCATCATTCCCCTCGTTCGGGAGGACGAGGAGGCTCCGAAGAGCATCTTCGTACACCTGTGGACTCTTGGCGATCATCCGGTGCCTCCGGCCCGGCCTCCTCCCAAAGCCGAAGTTGTGAATCCTCCTGAGGAATGTGGTGGGCAGCACCAGCAAGAATCCCATCAACCTCCGGGAGGGCTCCAAGGTCCTTTACAAGTTGGGGGAGCCTGCGGCGGCATGAAGTGCCTCAGGGCCTCGAGGTCTAGGAAGTTCAGGGTCTCCTTCAAAGGTTTCGGTGCTGGTCAAGACTTTTTGGGTTCAGAGCTTCAGCTACTTCGGGAAGCGGTCTCCCAGAGACCGTGCTTGAAGGAAAGCCTGCCGAGAGGCTTGGGGAAAGCATCATTCAGGTGCAACACGTGGTGAGGCAAGAGCTGTCGTACATCATCAACCAACAACAACCTTGCAGGGGTTTCACACCGTTTCACAACCTTGCACCGAGCCGCGAATGACATGCTCCTTTGCCGGCTGGATCCCCAAGCTGCGCCCCATCCGAAAGAACCCACGAGCAGAAGAGATTGTTGCGACCAAGGAGCAAGATGGAAAGCCCAGGGCGCAAGACGTTGTCATGCTCGGGAAGGACATGGCTTTTTGGGGATTCGCGGTCCACAGCTTCAATGCTTCGCGCGCGATCGTTTTTCTGCCAGTCTTGGGGGCTGAGAGATTGGCTTTTGCATCCCGACTTTTGTGGAAGGACGGCAAGCCCCTCCCTGTGCATGCGGGCGCACAGAACCTAGAGGACTTGTGGCGGTTCAAAGATTCAGTCCGGTGCTGTATGAAGTGCGCGTCTACACAAGTGTGAAGGCAGAAGGAGTAATCATCACTTTAACTACTCGGAGGGCTCTCGGGTTCTGCTGGGCTGCGCGCAGATCCGCGAGTATTTGTTTGGTCACTCACCGTTGAGTCGGAAAAGCTTCGGACCCACATCAAGCAGGTCATGTAAGTGCTCAATGAAGTTGGACATGAAACGTCCATATTCACCCCGAGCCACTACACTGCACGCCTCGACAAAGATTCCATTGCTTAGAACTTCAGGGCACTGGGCTAAGGAGAAAAGAAAGAGCTATTTCGTCACGGCCGAGACGCTGGGCGTGCCTTTGCTCACAAGCGACCCTCAGTGCGACCAATGGAATCTGCCGGATATCGGAACTCCCGTGGGTTTGCAGTCCAAGTCATAGCCTCTGTGGCGCGACGTGCTACGACACAGGTTGAGAGGAACACCCTTCTCCCTCTGCTTGCTCCTTGCCTGGTTGTGCTGCATGAGCCGGCTCGTGCACGGGCGAGGAGTCAGGCGATCAAGCATACTGCACCCCCCTCAAAAAAAGAGACAATGAAGACGCGGCGCGCTGGAGAAACTAGCGAACTGAGCTCGGATGGCGGGCTTGCGTAGTGTACCCCGACTTGTGCTCAGAAGCGGAAATCTCACAAAAACTATTCGTTGGCTGTAGATGTGTCGAAACAGAAGGCGGAGAAGTAGAAGGAGTCGTCGCGACCAGAACACTGTCAATTGCTTTTTCGACGCATGGCCCGTCATGGCCCTAGAACTCTCAGACCGCAGAGTTGTGCAAGGCTGTCGGGCATGAGGGATCCCAAGCTATCTTCTAATTCCCTAACCTCAGGCTTCAGTGCCCCAGTGCTGATCTTGAGCATGACTAGCAGACCTCCTGTTCGATAAGGTGCGGGTTCATGCGGAAAGCTGGCCTGGCAAGCAGATCGAGTTGCAAGACCGATACGCCCAGGATGAGGAGATCGGGCACTCATACTTTCTCTTAGTTTGAAGTATTTTTCCAAGAAACAACACCCACCCAACATCCCCGCCCGGGCTTTGCACGAAGACGGCCACAGGTGCAGCAGTAAGGTACCTTCGCCAGGACGTGTCGACGTGTTCTGGACCAGAAGCTCGCCCCGAGCGGCGAAGCTGAGCGAAGCAAAGGGCCCTGACACCCCAAACGCCTCGAGCAGCAAGCCTTGAGAGCCTCGCATGCGCGTCGAAGAGACTCTCGGTTTTTCAGGCCATGGACGAACTCGGAGTCTACTTCGGCGTCTTTGATGGCCACGGGGGCGCGCAGGTCAAGGAATACTTTCTCAAGGGCCGAAGAGAGGAGTCGGTAGGCAGACTTTTCGAGTGATTCCCAGCTTCTGACATGTCAAGATCTCACCCTCGCCGGCCCCAACTGTGACGTAGTCTCTGGAAGAACTCTTGAAACAGGTCTCTGAGTTGGCAGCCAAGAACCTCCACCGGAACATCTTGTCCTGCTTCCGGCAGAAGGCTGCTCCCAAGAAGCCCGCGATGTTAATGGGTGCCCCCCCCCCCCCCCCCCCCCCCC